AAGAAAAGAGAGCTTTAAACAAGGTGCTCCGCTCTGCAAAGAGGACCGTGGGCTGTGAGCTTCCTGTTCTGGAGGTTCTTTATAAATCCACACTTTTTAACAAAGCTCTTAGGATTGTTAATGACTCTTCTGGCCACCCTGGGAAAGCCATGTTCCAGCTTCTTCCCTCTGGCAGAAGATACTGTTCTCTGAGATGCAGGACATCTCGTTACGCTAACAGTTTTTATCCACAGGCTGTTATCAGTGTGAACAGAGCACTTTAATGATTTGCACTTGTTTTGAAACTGTTTTAGTCGATCGATTTCACAATGACATTTGTTTACTGTTTTATTTGTTTTATTTTTGTCTTTTAATGTTGTTTTATGTCTGTATTTGTCTGTGCACACTGGAGACTTTTGCTAATGTATTCCAATGTGGTTTTACTGCAAATGGCAAATAAACTGAATCTGAATCTATATACTATGTGAAGCGCTTTCTGACCCTGGTCTGTGAAGGGCGCTATATAAAGTAAAGATTTACCTTACTTACTTACTTAATACAGAGATATAGGAAGCAGGCGCGTGAAAAGCAGCACTTCTGCTACATACAACCACAGAGCTAGCAATAGCATTACTTCAATTGAGCCCTGGAATCAATCAAGCATGACGTAGTAGAGCGAGTACCTTGTGGTAGCGCAGCGGCATCCTCATGACGGCCCTCGAAGCCGACCTTAGCGAGTGAGAGTAGTGCCTCCAGATCCCGCCTGGAACTATGTGCAGCTGGGTGGGGTTATGGACGTGGTGGAAGGACGGTAGTAGAAGATACTGCCAGCAGAGTATTTGGACATGCACGCTAAAAGGAGCACAGGCATTTTACAGCGGCGTATGTGCACACACCGGTAAAAAGTGTTGGGTGGCTTAAGCATAGTGGGTGAATTGTAATGGTTAAATGGTTTAGAGGCTTTGTTTATATTGTTTACGGGGAGAACATGTAAACTCCACTCAGAAAGGCCTGTTCCGACTGGTATTGGAACCCAGGACCTTCTTACGGAGAAGGCGAGAGTGGTATCCACTCGCCACCCATGACGCCCACGTAGTAGAGGAGTGACATGCGTTCCACCCATGGACAACTGCGATGAGATGAAGTGTGGCTGAATCCCATGTGCGTCAGGGAGACTGATGCAGTGTCCGAGGAGTGGACTGCAGAGCTTTCTCCATTTGCAAATGCTTGTTCTTATCATGTACTTTTTACTTTAATAAAATATAATAAAATCTATACTTTTACATGTTAAATTTCTTATTTTTTGTAATCACATTGAGTGGCCTTATGTATGAATTGGTCCTCATAAAACAAAGCGGTAACATATGATCTTCCAAGACTTTGCAGGTGGTGACTGGCAGGCAGCACACGTACCTAGTGAGGACAGGTCTGAGTACTGGGAGCTGAGCGATTGCACACAGGTCAACGGCGATCTGCTGCCCGAGCAGTCCAGGGAAAGCTTTTTATAAAAGTCTGTGGCAGGGCCCAGGTGCTGCACCACCTGTGCAGTAGGCAAACAGGTCAACAAACGCATAATGTGGACAGAGATCACAGGCAAATAACTTAACACTTGCATCACTGCACCACACACAAGTGTAATAACTGAAGCTTTTATTCATTTCCTTTTTTATAAATGCAAATTCAACACATTTTGAGGCTTTAAAAAGGCCGTTTCCATGGTCTCGACTCTCACTCGACTCAACTCCTCTCCCTGGTTTGCGTGGGGGTTTCCACCTGCTTGCTTTAGCTGCTACCCGGTACTTTTTTTGTAACGGTTTGGCCCTGGTAACAATCTGACGTCTGACAGATTGGTCAGAGGCGGCTGTCAATCACTCTTCAGCTGCAGCGTCAGCTTGTTGCGAAAAAGACAACACATCTGCTCAAGTTTCCAGCTGAAAACTATATAGACATCTGTACGTAAAACAAATTCCTTGGTCGCTGGATGAGGGCAACACCCCTTCCTCAGTTGAGGAGAGGACAACAAACGTGAGCTCGATGGTGCCCACCCGAAATGAGAAAGCGTTTGTGGAGGTGGCACCAAGGATGACGGAATGGATATCCACGGATTATCATCACAGGACAGAGAAAAGTTAAGAAGCTTAAATGCGACTACCGGGAAATGAATATATCACAACACAGCTTAAAGTGGACAGAACCGAAAAGCCTGGAGGTGGTTTGACCAAATGGATGAAAATTACCGACATCGGCTAACTCAGTCCTGGTTTAATCCGGTTTAGCTCATGTTTTGGTTGTTTCGAGCGTCTGAATTTTCCTAGGTTTGGACCAACATATGTCCCTGTGACAAACATTTGCTGGCTCTCACTGATTGGTTGTGTCATCTCCTGCCTTTCGCTGCACTGCAACTACATTAGCCATCGCCCTCTTCGCCGCGCCGCAACAAGAGCATCTGCCTTGCGGGATAAACCACGCGTGCGCGCAACGACCATGCTGCAATTCCTCGCATGGACGGCGTCACCATTGACTTTGCATTGAAACTCCTGCCTGCGCAACGATCCGGTCTGAACAACAGCTTAAAAAAAGCTAAAGTTGTGTTGATGTTATGTGTCATATCTGTATCTTTTACTTGTGGTGTCTACACGGACTGGCTAGAACCAGGACCAAGCCGTTGCTAAAAAGTAACTGGGTAGCGCTAAAGCGAGCCAGTGGAACACGCCGGCATATTTTACTTTTAATGGCGCTGTAAATGGCAGCGAGTCCTAAGTATCTCTGGATAAGTTTCTTTTCCTGACATCCTACATTTTAGGGAGAGACCGGTGTAGGTATCCAATACCGATAGAGCATTGGTTGATACCATTAGGCTTGTAACCTGCACTCATACCATAGGACCCAATGCCTGTAACCGATACCCACATTTTTAATTCATATTAGCGATGACAGCAGACCAGCTGTGCGGCACGTGTTGCCATGGTGATCCCCGAAAGTCAGCTGCGAGAAAGCACTTAGCTAG